CTGGGCTGGCAGGGTGGGGAGCCCACTCGACAACCATTATGGCACCCCTCATGTTTGTGAAGCATCTGTCAGTCATGTGTGTCTATTTACTGAAGCATTGGTTGGACTTTTGTGACAGACGACACATACAGGAAACCAAACAGATAAGGTCACGGTTCAGTGTTGCCGCACTGTGACAGAGATGTGTGCAAAGGACTGTGGGGCACGGAAAGCCATCCTCGCACCTCCAGGGCTCAGGTGTCGGTGACTAACACAAATCTGGGCATGGGCCTCTCTTTTCCTTACTCCTTGGAGCCCAGAAGGGGAGAAGAAAACACCAAGAAGGTCCTCAGGCCTCCCCCTCTGCTGAGGATGGGGCCTCTCTTTTCCTTACTCCTTGGAGCCCAGAAGGAGAGAAGAAAACACCAAGAAGGTCCTCAGGCCTCCCGGCAGCATTGCCGGATGCAGACGCCCTCACTGTGCAGCATCCTCTCTGCCTGGGCACCTGGCACTCTCTCATCCGAGGACCTTCACGCAGAACCCACTGTGTCCAGCCAGGCTTCGTCTTCCTCCTCCACACCTACAAGCCTCCGGACCATGCCAAGGGCTTTTGCCACAGGGTCTGCAAACCCCTTCCTGGTCCACCAGGGGCTCCCACTCATGCCTGGGCTCCCACTCATGCCTGGTTTCCGGCCTCCAACCCCACCCATCTGCTGCCGCAGGAAAGGTGGTCAGCACCGTGGGCGGCCCAGTTCTCCACCATGCAGGAAGGAAGGCTGCACCCACCTCCAGGCATTCACTGAGACTGACCCAAAGGAGTCCACCTACCCACGCCAGACACAGGAGGGACACTAGTCCTTCCATGTCAGGAATACAGCTCCAAGCCTCAACCAGAGGGGCTGTCTCCATTTGCAGCCAGCAGGCCCTGTGTGAAAGCTCCCTCCTGCCACTCTCCGGCAGCAGTAAGGCCTCCGGTATGGACGGCACCAAGGCCTCATGCGTGGACGGCTCCACCTGGCTGTCCCCCGGTCATACCACTCTACAGCTCCTCTGACCCCAATGGGCCCCAGACTCCGGACTCACCTCTGTAGAGAGTGTCCCCTTAACATGGCAATTCCCAATGGTCTGATCACATCCCTCTAGAGATTTAAATTCCTCCAGGGCCTGGCTTCTGTCCTGTTCAAGTTGGAGCCCTTGGGGCTTTTTGCCTGGTTCGCTGTGGGCACTTGGTACATACATGTTGAGAAGAGAACTGTAAGAATTATGATTCCAGAAGAAGATGGGGCCAGAGATAGGGGTGCACAGGTAGTCAGCTATTCTCTTCAATTTACTCCACCAGCTACCGCCCACCCTGAAGCAGTGGCTCTCAGCCCATGGGCCAGGGCCAGCAGCATAGCCCCACCGTGGGACGTCTTAGAGACACAGGTTCTTGGTTCCATCCCAGGCCTGCCGACTCAGAAGCTCACTGGGCTCAGCAGCCTGTGTTTTAAGAAGCCCCCAAGTGATTGGATGTTCGCTCTAGTCTGAGCACCGCTGCCCAGCTTAGGGCCAAGCTTAGGCTATTACATGTGACCATGTGAATATAGAAAATTGGAAAACCTTTACACGTCTAGCAGGATTCTCAGCTAACCAAGCACTCCCCATCCTCACCACCCGCCCCCACACACACATACACCTCCGTAGCAGATGTCATTGGTCAGCGGCAGACAAAATAAGAGGCTCTGTTTAGCTCCATTCAGTGGATGAAAACACTAAGGCTGAAAAAATCCAACTTTCTCAAATGATAAAATTGAGACAGATTGAGTCAATGCAGGAGCTTACCTCTCCACATAGTCACACGAGTCACTCGAATGCCATTAACATAAAATAAAGACCCAGAAAATTCAAAATTCAAAAGTCCCCACATGCTGAGCTAGTCAATGAGCTCCTGGGAGGTCCTAGGTCCCCAGGTTGAGGGAATCAGCCAGCTAGCCTTTCGGAGAAGCGAGAAGCAGCCAATTGTGTTAAAGGCAAAACACCTAGTTCACACCACCCAGAGTGGCATTTAGATCTTTAGCCCTGCTGCCTGTCTGACAAGGAAGATCCCCAGCTGTGGGAGCCTGGCTTCCAGACACGGAGGTCCTGGGCCTGGGTGGGTGGCCTGGGGCCTCTGTTCTGGGCAATGGGGACAAAGCTGGAGACTCAAGGGCTGACTGGGTTTCAGTGGCTGTCTGGCGCCACCTGGTGTTCAGTGTCTGGACCCCAAAGGGTTGAAAGGCCACCAGGAGGGAGAGGTCAAAGGGATGCAGCCATTCTCCAAGACAGGCTACGGCCAGGGAGGGGCCCGTGAGCCACTCCTTGGCCATCTGGGCAGCGCTGATACCCCTCCAGGTACCCCCAGCCCTGGAGGGAAGTACTCCTGGGGACAAGCTGCCCAGGACAGGGAGGAGGAGGGTGTGCCCAAGCTCACCAGGAAGCTGGATCATCGTGTTCCTCCTGCTGAGTGTTTGGCCAGCGGGCTTTTCCTCCTGACTTAGTGCCCAGGCCGGAGGCTTTGGGCCTCTTTAATTTTTTTTTTTAAGGGAAATTGACCCCTGTGCTGAAGACAGCCTGGGCTGGAGGAGGCACTGCACGCAGTTCCGACTGTGCTAAGTCAGTGGGCGGTAATGAGCACGAGGCGCTCAGCGGGGGGCTGCCCAGCCTCGGCCACAAGGGGTCTTTACCAGGCCCACACAGAAGGCCTGGCTCCCCTCGCCTGCCTATTCCCCGAATGCCACTCCCGAGGCTCCACCATCACGGCTGCTCGCCACATCCTGCTCTTGTGAGAAAAGACGTCCTCATGTCCGAACCATGGCCTCCTGAGTACAGAGCCACTGCACGCTCCCAGGGTCAGCTCGGGCCGAGGGCAGGGCCCACGCAGCCGGCAGCACGGTGGGGCCCTCAGGCTCAGTTGGGTCCTTGCTCTTCCATGTACATGCAGAGGCACATAAGTGCTATGATCAAGCCACTAACACGCTCCGAGCCCAGTGTCCTATCAGGCTAACAGAGGTCTCCCTTGAAATCATCCCGACTGGATCCAGGCAGTTGCTCGACTTGACAGACCAGCCCCTCGCTCCCCTGCCCTTCCCCCTTCGCTCAGCCAGCACCTCTTCTCCTCAGTCCCTGCTTGGGCTTCTCCAGGAGCCCTTCTGCTGTCCCCTGAGCCTGGGCTTGGTCCCCTCTGTGGTTCTATACCCCTTGTAGGTCCCTGCCCCACAATGGCCACCTGTTGTGTTCCTGGGCTGCTGGTGGTCTGGACCCTACTTTAATAAACCCCATGAGGTGAGAGCAGGGTAACATCTGCCTTATTCCCCTCGACAGAGCCTGGCACATAGTAGGCCCACAGTACCTGGGTGTAGGACAACAGCGACCCAGGTGGGCACAGCGACCCAGGCTGCCCACCTGGCCCAACCCCTGAGCCGGTCTCTGTCCTCTCAGGCCATGGAGGGCTGAACCAGCTGGGAGGCGCCTTCGTGAATGGCAGGCCACTGCCAGAGGTGGTTCGCCAGCGCATCGTGGACCTGGCGCACCAGGGTGTCAGGCCCTGTGACATCTCCCGCCAGCTCCGCGTCAGCCATGGCTGCGTCAGCAAGATCCTCGGCAGGTAAGCATGAACTTCACCCACTTCTCCTGCAGTCTGGCCTCACGGCCACCCTCACCAGCAGGGCCCAGTCCTGGGACGGACAGGGTAGGCTAGCACCTCTGGCCATCAGCTTGTGGCTCTTCCTTCCCTGCCCACCTCTCCTTCCCCGCTCATCTCATTTTTCAGAGGTTTCTCTGCTCCTATAGCAGGAGAGTCTTCCCTAGAGGCTGTTCTCTTGCTAAGACCCAGGGACATGGAGCCACTAGGCAGAGGACATGTGCTCAAAGGTGGCCCCAAGTTCAAACCCCTGCACGCGGGATGTCCGAGTTTGTGCTTTTCAAACTGTAGCTCTCAGAGCACCAGGCTGCTTGGTAAAATACAGACCCCTGGGCCCCCAGACCCACTGCACTGCATCTCCTACAGCCAGGCCTGGTGCTGGGAACCTTATGAGATGGCCAGATAACACTCATGAACTCATGAACACTAACCCAGCGAAGTGGCTCATGGCCCTCTCTGCACGTTACAGTCACCTAAAGAACCTTAGTTTAAAAAATGAATTCAAGGTCTAGGCACCAGCCCACACCCATGAGAGCAGAGCTGGGAGGGCTGCAGGGAGGCGTTCTGTCCCCCACCCCCATTCTGCTGAGTCTTCTGGGCGAATTGAGAATCTCTGACCAAAGATTTGAGTGAGACCAGAAGCAGCCAGGACTGCATCTGGGCTGCTGTGGCCACTCCCATAGCAGCGCCCCAAGGCAAAGAGTTGGGGCGTCCATCCAAGTCCCCTCAGGAAACCTGTCTCCTTGCCCCACCCACAAGCGAGGAGGGGTGGGGGGCTCCAGCCTGGGCTGTCACTGAGCCCTGGGAAGCTCTGGCCTCCTGATGGAAGGTGTTAGGGGAGAGTGGGATCAGGAAAGGGCACCCTGGGGTGAGCCTGTCCTAGAAAGGAGGTAAGGCCTGGAGGGTGGCGACAGGAGAACATTTGAAGAGGAGAAGTTAGTTCATGGCAGAGGAGACCAGAGTTTCCATAACAAGGTGGGGTGGGCATTCTGACACTGGTTGGTGATCTGCCAAAGCAGCTGGCTGTTGACGAAGCAGAGGCTCAACTTGAGGATGCAGCTGGATATCAAGGGGGGCTGGGATCCCAAAGGCTGGGAGGGGCGGCTTCAGCCTGAACCCCAGAACCTAGAGAAAACCCCGTGTCCAGCAGGGGTGGAGTGAGGGGGAGCAGAGATGAACCAGCAGACGGGCAGAGGCCCAGCCACCTCGGCTGGCCTCCTGGGGAGGGGCAAAACCAGGACAGCCAAAGAGATTGCGAGCCACACTGTGACCAAGAGAAGCTGGACGGAGGAAACCGCCACAATGATCCCATGATTCACAAAGCACTGACGTAAGCACTCCCTTTCTCAGAGGGAGTCTCGTAGGCCCCATAGAGTGGCACCCCCACTGCAGGCACTCACAGCAGGAGGCTGGCAGGGAAGAAGGGAAGGGAAGGGGGGAAACCAGGCATCCGGGTTGAGGTCTGCAGCAGCACAGTCTGGCCAGGCAGCAGCATAGACCTGCCCATGCAGGAGACAGCGCTGGACCACCAAGTGTTTGAGGCCAGCCTGGGGGCACAGACCCCAGCCCCTCCCCAGAAGCCTCTGCAGGGACGAGGGCCTCCTGCCTACTAGGCGGTCTCTGGGTGCCTACTGGAGCAGGTACTACGAGACTGGCAGCATCCGGCCTGGGGTGATAGGTGGCTCTAAGCCCAAGGTGGCCACCCCCAAGGTGGTGGAGAAGATCGGGGACTACAAGCGCCAGAACCCCACCATGTTTGCCTGGGAGATCCGGGACCGGCTGCTGGCCGAGGGCGTCTGTGACAATGACACTGTGCCTAGTGTCAGCTCCATCAACAGGTGAGAGATGGGTAGAGGGCAGGGCCCTCAGGGTATGTGAGAGAGAAGGGCCTGGCTTGTGGAGCAAGCTTGGGGGGACCTCTGCAGAAGAGGAAGCAGGCGTCACCTCTCCCTGCCCCCGAGGCTGCAGGCACACCCACTCCCCGCCTAGCTGTCCTTCCTACAGTCTCCTTCCCTGCAACACATGCTCTTTCGTTCCATCAGATCCTTCTGTTTGAATCGATTCTTAGGTCGCATGACCCCAAACCTGGCACTCATTCAGTCACTCATTTGTTTAACCATCTGGTGATTCACTCAGGACCTTAACCAATCACTTGCCCACTAATTTCTTCACACCTACATAATTCATTGCCACGTGCTAGGTGCTGGGAGCACAACCCTTGGCCTGGCAGAGCTTCCAGTCTGGTGGGAAGACAGAGGCTCATCAAGTGCCCACACAAACAGCTGTAAAAACACAGATCTAGTGCTGCCAAGGAGAGAGCCATGAGGGCATGTGAGCCAGCATGGGGCAACTCAGTTTAAAGGAGCTGTAAAGAGATGCCCCTGAGCAAGACATAGTGAATAATGTCAACTACCTGAAAGAGGGTGACAGAGCGTCGAGACAGCACATGCAAAGGTCCTGTGGCTTGGGGGACCTGAAACAAGAGGCTGGGAGAAAGCCAGCATACAGAGAGACAGGCA